AATTTTGTCAAAGTGGAGGTGCCACCCGTGGGGAGGCCCTTTGGGGGTCCTGCTCTCTGGCCCACCCCTCCTGGCCACCCATCCCCCCTGGGAAGACGGCCGTGCCACTCCCTGTGGCGGGTGGCCACGGGGCCGGCCACGTGCCGACCTCCTGCCCAGCGGGGTACAGGTTTCGGGCCCCAGAGGGCGGCCTGCAGGGTGCTGCTCGCAGGAGGAGGCTGCAGTGTGCCCGCCCAGCGCCTCGGCAGAGTGTGGGGTGCGTGGGGGGGCTGGCGGGCCTCTCGCGCCCCGTCCTTCGGAAGGGACGTGGAACAGCAGAGGCTCCTGGGAGGACGAGGGCGCTCTGCGGCCCTGGGGACAGGCCGGCCGGGTCCGTGTGGCCACGTCTGAGCGGCCCCGGCGCCCGGGAGAGGCCGCGGTGGCCGCGCCGTGTCCCCCGCCCCCGCCGCCCGGGTCTGTGGGCCCCGCGGACGTGCCGATCTGCATTCTAGCGCCGCGTCGGGGGCGAGTTCCGAGCGGCGGGGGCGAGGCCCATTCCTGAGCTGCCTGTGTCTGCGAGCTCCGGAAAAACAAACAGCCGTGGGGTCGGCCGTTTCCTCAAAGGCGGGAGGACCTCGTTAACTTGACAAAGAGGGTCTGTGACAGGGTCCGAGGCCCGGCCGGCCCGGCTCTGGGCCTGCGCTCTCCATGGGGGTGGGGGGAGCCCCGGCCCGGGCACCCCCACCTGTGCTGACCGGCCTGGGCGGGGCCGGCACGAGGGCCCAGCGGGGCTCCCATGCCGAGGGGGGTGGTCTCAGGCGTCCTCCCCGCCGCCCGCCGCCCGTCCCGCTGCCCCCCAGCCCTTCCTTCCCTCACTTCCGTCGCTGGGTTCTTGCAGGAATTGTGATCATTTCAAAGGTTGCGGCACGTGTTTTTGTTACGTTTCCTGAGTTTCCGGGCGCCCCAACCTCGGTGCCCAGGTGTGGGTGCCCCCCCGCCCCCCGCCGCCTTGTCTCCGAGGTCCCCCCGCCCTGAGGCCTCGTCAGGAGCGTTTCACTCTTGACGATCGAAGTCCCGGAGAGCGTGTGTCCACGTGGCTTCTGTCTGCCGCTGCCGAGCCCGTTAGGAAGCAGAGGGACTTTTAAATGCCTCCGTAGTGACTCCTTAAAAATAGGAGATGATCCTTGTCCGCTAATAATACCTGTTCACGTAAATGAAACCTACTTCCGAAGGAGGCCTCTACTTCCCAGAGAGGGCGGGCTGGGGGGCGGGGGGGGCGCCCGTGTGCAGGCCCAACGCTGCCTCTGCTCCGGGGCCCGGCCCTGGGAGGCAGCTGCGGCCCAGGCGTCACACGTGGGGCCCAGGCCCTCCCTCCCGGGAGGACACCCCGCCTTCCAGGGGGCCTGGGCTCCCCCAGGGTCCCCTTATCGGCCACCCGCCCTCAGCCTTGCCTGTGGCCGCATGGGGGGGTGTGTCTGTCTCCACCCTGAGGCCCCGGCTCTGCTCTGGGTGCGAGGTGCGTGCGCATGCGACGTGGGTGCGAGGGCTCGCGTCTGAGTGTGCCCGGGGGGTCGGGCTTGACGTGGCAGCAGCCGCTCTGTGTGGCCTCGCCGTGCCGTGTGTGCGTGTGCGTGTGCTGTGCATGCACGTGTGTGCCGTGTGACCCTCCTGCACGCCAGGCCCTTGCACATGGCTGTGCGTGCATGGTGTCCACCATGTCTGCGTGTGATGGGGCCGCCGGCCGGGCCGCTCGGTGCTGGCGTGGGACCTGCTGTGTCTCCGAGTCCCGTGCCTCCTTCTGGCCCCGTTTCCCGCCGGCCTCGCCTCGCTCCCAGGTTCTGCGCCGTCACCGTGTCGCGTGGGGCCTGCGAGGGCCTCACCTTCAGGCGGACAGATG